TTATAAAGAGAATAAACAGTGCCACAATCTTCACTGACAAAATTACAAGCGAATAGTCAATGAATCTTCCTTTAGTCACATCCGAATGAGCTACAATAAAAGAGTTCTCTCCTATTTAAGATAAAGTCCATGTGAGAAGTAAGAAACTCCACCTCAAAAAAAAAAAAAAGAAAAAAAAGAAATATGTATACATTTTTTTTTTTTGAGTTGGAGTCTCACTCCATTTGTCTGAGCATTTACCATGTGCCAGGAACTATACAAATTGCTGCAGATACAGTGGAACAAGGAGGCCTTGGTCCTTCACCTCATAAAGTTTTTTCTGCAGTGGGCTGATATAATTTGACCGTTGCTTATAAACTATCTATTTAGGCCGGGTTCGGTGGCTCAGCCTGTAATCCCAGCACTTTGGGAGGCTGAGGTGAGAGGATTTCCTGAGCCCACAGGTTCAAGAACAGCCTGGGCAAGGCGAGACCTCATCTCTACAATAAATCAAAAAATTAGCCGGGCGTGGTAGCGCACGCCTGTAGTTCTGGCTACTTGAAAGGCTAAGGTGGAAGGATCCCTGGAGTCCAGCAGGTCAAGGCTGCAGTGGCCGGGAGCATGCCACTGCACTCCAGTCTGGACAACAGAGCGAGACTCCAACTCAAAAACTAAATAAACAAATAAATAAATAATTTATTTAGTCCAGGGGTTCTCAATATTGCTGGATGACAGAATCTCCCAGGAAGTAGTTTATTTTATTTTACTTATTTATTATTATTATTTTTTGAGTTGGAATCTCACTCTGTCGCCCAGGCTGGAGTGCAATGGCATGCTCATGGCCACCCCAGCATCGACCCGCTGGGCTCAGACAATCCTTCCACCTCAGCCTTCTAAGTAGCTGGAACTACAGGCATGCGCCATCACACCCGGCTAACTTTTTGATTTATTGTAGAGATGAGGTATCGCCAAGTTGCCCAGGCTGTTCGCGAACCTGTGGGCTCGGGCAATTCCCTCACCTCAGCCTCTCAGATATTTTATTATTATTAGAGTTGGAGTCTCACTCTGTTGCCCAGGCTGGAGTGCAGTGGCATGACACTGGTTTACTCGTAGCGCCGACTTCCTGGGTTCAGGCCATCTTTCTGCCTCATCCTCCCGAGTAGCTGGGACTACAGGTATGTGCCACCATGCCAAACTAATTTGTTTTTTTTTTTTTTTTTTTTGGTTTATTGTAGAGACGAGGTCTCACCAAGTTGCTCAAGTTGGTCTCGAACCCATGAGCTCAGGCAATCCTCTTGCCTCCGCCTCCCAAGGTGCTGGGATTACAGGCCAGAGCCAACCACACCCGGCCTCCAGGAAGAAGTTTAAAAAGGCAGAAGTTCATATTCCACATCCTTTCTCCCTCCCCTCTCCCTGCCCAGTAGATTTGGATCCAGTGAGTTTAGGTGGGATCCAGGTATCTGCATTTTCATAAACGTTCCGGTTGATCACAGGAGCAGCCAGGTTTGGGTACCCCGACCTGCTCTAGTCTCCAGTCACCCCCAGGAAACAGAAGCTTTGACAGATCGTCACCTGCCAGGCTTCCACACAAGGGCGCACTCCGACCCCTCCCAGCCCACTGGAGGGCCGAGTGCGGGGGCCTTACCGTGGCGATACGGGTTGTAGAGCGCCATAGCGGCAGAGCCGGCGGCCAGCAGCGCCTTCTGCAGCGGGGACGTGGGGATGTGGTCCGGGTACAGCAGGCCAGCGCCATGGCTCCTGGCCCGGAGGGGCACACCTGCGGGGCGAGAACAGGGCCGAGGTGAGCGAAGGGAGCCGTCCGGGCGTCCCGGGCTCCTGCCCGCCTCCGCCCGGAACTCGGCGCTACTTGCCTGACGCTGGCCAGGGGCGGCCCGGGAGCCGGGGCAGGGGGCGCAGGCCGCGGCGTAGCAGTGTCGCCATGGCAGCGGGCGTCTGCCTGGGGACCGGGGGGGCGGGGCTGACGCCACCAGTTTCTCTAGCGACGGAGCGCGGAGAAGTAAAAAAAAAAAAAAAGAAAGAAAGAAAATCGATTCTGATGGCGCGGCTTACGGCCTCTGGAGGGTAAACACCGCCGTAGCACGGGTTGAAAGGATCCTGTCGCTACGTTTGCAGAGCGACCTGACTACCACCTGTCTCCACCTGTCTCCCACCTGCCTCCACCGACGCAAAACGTCGCGCCCAAGCGCGTCTCCAAAGCAGTCGCTGCCCCGCTTCCTCCGCAGTTCAGCGCCGGGCCCCATTTCCTTTGTCCCATCACGTTTCCCCCGAGGACAATAAGATGAGGACCTCTTCCGGCTTCGGAACATGGCGGCGCCCACGGTACGGATCATGTTCGGCAGCGGGGCCGTACGGCACTTCCGACCAGGTCCCAGCTTTTCCGCCTGCAGGCTTCAAGTATGGGGTCTGCTGGTCTGGCGCGGCTGCATGGACTCTTCGCGGTCTATAAGCCCCCGGGCCTAAAATGGAAGCACCTGCGGGATACTGTGGAGCTGCAACTTCTGAAAGGTGAGTGTCTTGAAACAGACCCACGACCCCGCTCCCGTACACCTGGAAATCCATCTCCGCTTCTGGTCCTTCTCTTGAAGTCATGTGACCTGTTCACCTGGGCAGAGCGCTTTCCTCTGTGCTGTGCGTTACGTTACTCCTCACTTTCTCCTACCTTCAGATGAGGGATAAACTTAGTATTGTCCGTGGCCACACGGTTAATATGTAGTAGAGTCATATTAACCGCGGCGCGGTGGCTCACGTCTGTAATCCCAGCACTTTGGGAGGCAGAGGTTGGAGGATCGCTTGAACCCAGGAGTTGGAGACCAGCAGGGGCAACATAGTGAGACCTCCATCTCTATTAAAAAGATTTTAAAAAGCCGGACGCGGTGGCTCATGCCTGTAATCCCAGCACCTTGGGAGGTGGAGGCGAGAGGATTGCCTGAGCCCAGCAGGTTGAAGCTGTGGTAGCCTTTGTCCCACGACTGCACTCCAGCCTGGGTGACTCAAAATAAATAAATGAATAAACTAAATAATAGAGTCAGGATTTGAATTCAAGTCTGTTTTTTAACTACTGCTATTCTGTTCTCTGTACTTGGGCTTCTCTTTGTCTTCTACGTTATACTTCCTTGGCCCCTTCTCCCCAGATGTTCAGACAGAATTGACAAGATATTATTTACTTGTGTGTGTTCAGGTCTCAATGCTGGGAAGCCTCTTGCCCCTGAACAGCGTGTTCGCTTTTTGCTGGGTCCCATGGAAAACAGTGAGAAGAAGGAACTGACCCTAACAGCCACCAGTGTGCCCACCCTTGTCAACCACCCGCTGGGTAAGGCAAATTTAAATTTAAGCAAGAGCCTGAGCATCACTTCCTAGGATATCCCTGAGCAGAGTCAGTGTCTCGGTCTCAGACTCCTGTGCCAAGCATTTGAAGGTCCACAGTGGGGATGAATGAAGTATTAGAGCAGAGATTGGCAAACTTTACTGCAAAGGGCCAAATACTAAATATCTTAGGCTTTGCCAGCCATGTGGTTTCTGTTGCAACTGCTCAATTCTGCTATTATGTTATGCACTAGCCTAACAACTATAGACAATATCTAAAGGAATGAGCCTGGCTGTGTTCCAATACAACTTTATTTGTAAATTCTGACATTTGAGTTTTCATGTAATTTTCACATGTCATGAGGTTCAGTTGGCCCTCCATGTTCAGGGGTTCTTCATCCATGGATTTAACCAACTTCAGATGGAAAACATTTGGAGGAAAAATTATTCCACAAACTACCAAGAAGCAAAACTTGAATTTGCTGTGTGCCTGAGTACTATGATGAATCTACTCAAATGAAGTGATGTGTAGGCATCGTATTGTAAGGTATTGTAAGAAATGTAGAGATGATTTAAAGTATATGGGGGAGCCAGGTGCGATTGCTCATGCCTGTAATCCCTGCACTTTGAGAAGCTGAGGTGAGAGGATTGCCTGAGCCCAGGTATTCAAGACCAACCTGGGCAAATTGGCGAAACTTCGTCTTTACAGTAAATATAAAAATTAGCCAGGTATGGTGGTGTGCATCTGTAGTTCTGCCTATTTGGAAGGCTGAGGCAGATGAATTTCCTGAGCCCAGCAGGTCGAGGTTGCAGTGGCCATGATCATGTCACTGCATTGCATTCTAGCCTGAGCGACAGAGTAAGACTCTGACTCAATAAGTAAATAAATAAATAAATAGACTGGGCACGTTGGCTCACGCCTATAATCCCAGCACTTTGGGAGGCCAGAGTGAGAGGATTGCCTGAGCCCAGGTATTCAAGACCAGCGTGGGCAACTTGGCGAGACCTCATCTCTACAATAAATAAGAAAATGAGCTGGACATGGTGGCATGTGCTTATAATTCTGGCTACTTGGAAGACTGAGGTGGAAGGATCACCTGAGCCCCACAGGTCGAGGCTGTGGTGGCCATGAGCATGCCACTACTCTCCAGCCTGGGTGAGAGAGTGAGATTCCAACTCAAAAAATAAATAAATAAATAAATACATTGGAAGGATGTGTGTAGCTTGTATGCAAAGAGTATACCATTTCATATAAAGGACTTGAGCATCTGTAGATTTTGTTATCTGGGTGGAATCCTGGAACCAATCCCTCACGGACAGCTGTTATTCCTTGGATTTATTTTGAACCATTAAAAATGGAATGGCCAGATATGGTGGCTCACATGTAATCCCAGTACTTTGGGAGGCCAAAGTGAGAGGATTGCTTAATTTATAAAAAATTTTTTTATTTTTTGAGTTGGAGTCTCTCTCCGTCGCCCAGACTGGAGTGCAGTGGCACACTTGTGGCCATCCCAGCATCGACCTGCTGGGCTCTAGCTATCCCTCCACCTCAGCCTTCCAAGTGGCTGGAACTACAGGCATGCACTACCATGCTGGGCTAATTTTTGATGTATTATAGAGATGAGGTCTCACCAAGTTGCCCGGGCTGGTCTCAAGCCCATGAGCTCAGGCAGTCCTCTTGCCTGGGCCTCCACAAGTGCTGGAATTATAGGCTGAGCCACCAAGCCCGGTCAAGAGGATTGCTTTAACCCAGGAGTTTGAGACCAGCCAGGGCATCATAGCAAGACCTCGTCTCTACAAAAAAATGTTTAAAAAGCCAGGTGTGGTAGGTACCTGTAGTCTGAGCTACTCGGGAGACTGAGATGGAAGGATAGTCTGAGCCCAGAAGTCCAAGCTGTGATCGTTCTACTATATTTCAGCCTGAGTGACAGAGTGAAACACTAAGAAAAAAAAAGGATGGAAAACTTTTTCTTTCTTTCTTCTTTTTTTGAGTCAGGGTCTCATTCTGGCTCAAGTGATCCTCCTGCATCAGCCTTGCACATAGCTGGTACTACCATGCCACTATGCCTGGCTGATTTTTTTGTTTGTTTTTTGGAGATGAAGTCTCAATATGTTGCCCAGGATGGTCTTGAACTGGGCACAAGCAATCCTCCTGCTTCTGCCTCCCTACAGGCATGAGCGACCATACCCAGCCAGAAAACAATTTTTTTTTTTTTGAGTTGGAGTCTCACTCTGTCACCCAGACTGGAGTGCAGTGGCCGCTCCTGGCCACCGCAGCTTCAACCTACTGGGCTCCGGCGATCCTTCCCCCTCAGTCTTCCAAGTCACTGGAACTACAGGCGCACGCTACCACACCTGGCTAATTTTTTTGATTTATTGTAGAGATGAGGTCTCACCAAGTTGCCCAGGCATGTCTCGAGCCCTCGGGCTCCCAAAGTGCGGGAATTACAGGCTGAGCCACCGAGCCCGGCCCAGAAAACAATTTCTTAACCTGTGGACCATTAAAAAAAAAGGCTTGAGGGGCCAGGTGCGGTGGCTTATGCCTGCAATCCCAGCATTTTGGGAGGCTGAGGTGAGCAGATTGCTTGAGCCCATAACAAGACCTCATCTTTACAAAAAACAAAAAAAATTAGCCAGATATGGTGGAGCACACTTGTAGTCCGAGCATTCTGGATGCTGAGGTGGAAGGATCGCATGAGCCCAGGAGGTCAAGGCTGCTGTGAGCCCTGATAATCATGGTCATGCCACTGCATTCCAACCTGGGTCACAGAGGGGGACCCTGACTCAAAAACAACAACAAAAAAACCGGCTTGAGAATTTGACCTGGAAACTAGTTTGCTGATCCTTTTTCTATTCTGGTACTCCAGGTGGGAATTGAGGCCCTCAGAAGTCCTAAGGAGGAGGTTTTGGGTTTCTGGGAAAGAGTAATTTTTTTCTTAGTAAACAAAGTTGCCCAGCAGTGAAACTGGTTCTGATAATGTGCCACTTGTCACTAGATGTGATGAAGGCATATGTCAGGGGCTTTAGGGGATTGACCAGAAACCCCTAGAATCCTTATGACTTGGGCTAGGCACGGTGACTCATGCCTATAATTCCAGCACTTTAGGAGGCCAAGCTGAGAGGATTGCCTGAGCTCACGGGTTCAAGATCAGCCTGGGCAACTTGGTGAGCCCTTGTCTCTACAATAAATCAAAAAATTAGCCGGACGTGGTGGTGCACGTCTGTAGGTCCAGCTACTTGGAAGGCTGAGGCAGAAGGATGGCCTGAGTCCAGCAGATCGAGGCTACAGTGGCTGTGAGCGTGCCTCTGCACTCTAGCCTGGGCAGCAGAGTAAGAATCCAACTAAAAAAAAAAAACCAAAAACACTTTGGTAATATTCAGTGACACTACCTTATAATATAAATAATAAGCACAATGCATTGAGTTCTTAATCTGTAACAGGTGTGTTGTGCTTTTCCCAAGAATGATCTCACTGACCCTTCACCACAGTCCTGAGATAGGTTCTCTTCCCATTTCACAAATGTGGAAACTGAGGCTCCATGTTGGCATTAAGTAACATAGCCTAGATTCAGTAGGCTCTTAGCCACCCTGTATCCTTCCCTTGGATTCCTTTTGATCTATAGAAGTTTAAACACTTCTGGCTCATTCCTACATTCATTCATTCAATAGTTATTTCCAGAGCAGCCAGTGAGTTCTGGTCTGGGGATAGAACTGTGAACAGACAGACGCGGATCCTTCCTTAAGGAGCTCATAGCCTCTGTTTTCCTACCAGGACCCTTCTTCAGCAGTGCTGGGCTGGGAACCCCACAGTCTTGACCCCCGTTGTTATGCCATTCTTCTTAAAACCTCTCACTGGGAGGCTGATGATAGGCAGAGTAAGGAACATCTTGGGTTGTCTTCCTCTTCGTCCCAGGGAACGAGGATACAGTTCAGGGCTCCAGATTCCATGGTGGGGAAGCCTGAGTGTCTAATTGATCCTAGTTTGGGCTCCATGAGGGTCCATTCTAGGAATGAGGTCATCATGCAGCCCAGAGCCATCCTGGAGGCTGGATTAGTTAAGGAAATGGATCTCGTTTGTTTCTTTCCAGTACGTGGACCAGCATTCACCAGCCTGAAGGTTGGCGTGGGACACCGGCTAGATGCCCAGGCTTCTGGGGTGCTTGGTAGGTGATGTGATAAGCCTAGGGGTGTGGTCATATGGGCTTGGAAGGATCAGGTAGCTACCCAGGGGTCCAGCCCATGTCTTACCTGACACCCACTTCCCACCACCGCCCTCCTTCCCTGATTCCTGCCTCAAGTCTGATCAGTTGGAGAGATGATTGGTAGGAGCAAGGCTGTCACAGGATAATAATCACAATTACTGAGTGCAGTGGCTCACACCTGTAATCCCAGTACTTTGAGAGGTGGAGGCAAGAGGATTGCCTGAGCTCAGGGGTTTGAGAGTAGGCCCTGGGCAACTTGGTGAGACCTCGTCTCTGTCTCTATAATAAATCAAAAAATTAGCTGGGCATGGTGGCATGCACCTGTAGTTCCAGCTACTTGGAAGGCTTAGGTGGAAGGATTGTCTGAGTCCAGCAGGTCGAGGCTGCAGTGGCTGTGAGCACGCCAGTACACTCCAGCCTGGGCAACAGAGTGAGACTCCAACTCAAAAATAAATAAACAATATTAATAGGCTGGGCTCGGTGGCTCAGCCTGTAATCCCAGGGCTTTGGGAGGTTGAGGTGAGTGGATCGCCTGAGCCCATGGGTTTGAGACCAGCCTGGGCAACTTGGCGAGACCTTGTCTCTATAATAAAAATCAAAAAATAAGCCGAACGTGGTAGCTTGCACCTGTGTTTCCAACTACTTGGGTGGCTGAGGCAGAAGGATTCCCAGAGCCCAGCAGGTTGACACTGGGTTGGCCATGAGCGTGCCACTGCAGTCCAGCCTGGTCGGCGGAGTGAGACTCTGGCTCAAAAAAATAAAAATTAAAAAAAAAAGTAATAATAATCACAATTGCCCACCTTGATTGAGTGATTCCTGCACGTGACGTGCGGTTCAAGGTCCTTTGTGCACATTTATTCACCACCACCACTTTATTGGTTGGGGAATGTATGGTTTTATGAGTGAAGGAAATAAGGCTCCAAGAGTGTAGGTGGCTTGTCCTACAGGGTCACATGCCTATACATTCCCCCAGTCCAGAGGGATAACCATCATCGCATCATGGGGCAGCCAGGCCCGTGACTCAGGCCCTACTGGCCAGGGTCTGGATGTTGCTGGTGCTGGACACACAAAGCCCTAGTCATGAGCCATCTGTGTCCCCAGGGTCAGGTGGCGCCCATGTCCTCCAGCCGAAACAGTCACAGTTCCTTCACTTTGCTTCCTGGGACTCAGGCGGGCAGACATGATCTCATGCCTCCTCTCTCTGTCCTCCCAAGAGTGAATGGAGGGTCATTCCCTCAGCCAGAGGGAAGAATAGACCAGGAGGAAGGCAGGAAGTGATCACAGTAGCCATCATTTATTGGGCTCTTTCTTTGTGCCAACTGCTTCCTGTTTATTATTGCCTTTAATCTGCACAACACCCTCAGTGAACAGACAGTATTTTACCCCCATTTTACTGACGAGGAGCTTGAGTCCCAGAGAAATTAAAGGTTGTGCTCAGCGCCACCCCTGATTTGAGGGTGGTCCCTGGGACTGGGCAACGGACTCTTTTTTTTTTTTTTTTTGAGTCAGAGTCTCACCCTATCACCCAGGTTGGTATGCTCATAGCTACCACAACCTCAACCTGCTAGACTCAGTTGATCGTTCCGCCTCAGCCTTCACGCACCACCATGCCCGGCTAATTTTTTGATTTATTGTAGAGATGAGGTCTCGCCTAGATGCCCAGGCTGGTCTCGAACTCCTGGGCTCAAGCAATCCTCTCACCTCAGCCTCCCAAAGTGGTGGGATTATAGGTGTGAGCTACTACGCCCACCCAACCCAGGGATCTCTTAGTTTTGGGTGTGTCAGAATCCCCTGGGGAGCTTGCTAAGGGTCCTAGGCTCCTTCCCCACCATGAGTCAGATTCAGTCCCTGTGGGTCAGGCCCAGAAATCTGTATTTTGACATAAACCCAGAGGAGCTCACTAGCTCTCTGTAAATCTTGTCCTCTTGCTGGCGTTGGCGGCATGGGAGAAGGGCATATTTGATGGTTGGGGTGAGGGAGAGGGTGAGGGTTCCCAAGGGAGTAGAAGGGGTGCTGAGTGTGCAATGAGGCTGGTGTCATTTCAGTGCTCGGCGTGGGACGTGGACGCAGGCTCCTCACCGACATGTACGACGCTCATCTCACCAAGGTATGGGAGTCTGGGGGTGGCCTGCCTATCCCTTGGTTCTTTTCCTGTGGGTCACCAGCAGGATTTTGAAGCTTAGAGGATTCCATGAGGGAATACCGAAGTCATCAGCAAGTATTTAACTTTTTTTTTAATAATTTTATTTGAGTTGGGATCTCACTCTGTTGAATAGGCTGTAGTGTGGTGGCACAATCATGGCTCTCTGTAGCCTCTACCTCCTGGGCTCAGGTGATCCTTTCACCTCAGCCTCCTGAGTAGCCTGGTACTACAGGTGTACACCACCATACCTGACTAATTTTTTGACTTTTTTGTGCAGACAGCATCTTACTGTGTTGCCCAGGCTGGTCTCGACCTCCTGGGTTCAAGTGGTCCTCCCACCTTGGACTCCCAAAGTGCTGGGATTACAGGCGTGAGCCATTGTGCCTGGCCAAGCATTTTTTTATAATCACATGCTTGGGGAGACTGTCATAATAATAACAACAATAACAACTACTGGCATTATTGTGTGCTGACTACCCTGTGCTGAGCACTGCACGTAGATTCCCTCAGGAAAGCCTCACAACTTCCCTGTAAAGGGAAATCTGTTTTAACTCCATTTTATACTTGTTAGAAGTGAGGCTCAGAGAAGGGATCTCCCTTACCAGGTCACACAGCCTTTATGGCTTTAAGAACTGGGATTTGAGCCGGGCTCGGTGGTTCAGCCTGTAATCCCATGCCTTTGGGAGGCTGAGGGGAGTGGATTGCCTGAGCCTGCGGGTTTGAGACCTGCCTGAGCAACTTGGCGAGACCTCATCTCTACAATAAATCAAAAAATCAGCCGGGCGTCATAGCGCATGCCTGTAATTCCAGCTATTCGGAAGGCTGAGGTGGAAGGATCGCCGGAGCCCAGCAGGTCGAGGCTGCTGTGACCGGGAGCGGCCACCGCACTCCAGTCTGGGCGACAGAGTGAGACTCCAACTCAAAAAAACAAAAAACAAAAAACTGGAATTTGAATCTGGATCTCTCTGACACCAGAGTCAGATCATGACTCCACTCCCTTCTATCCCCAAGACTGAGAAGTGGTTGTCAGTGTCTAACCCTCAGGGAGCTTCTTGTCCCAGAGGAGTGACCGGGGGGAGGGGGGCGGCTGTGGAATCTGTTATCCCTGATGCCACATTAAGGAACCACATTTTTTAGTGGTTAAGAGCACACATTTCAGAGTCAAATGGCTTCAATTTATAACCTAGCTTCTTTTATAGTACCAGCTACTTGGGAGGCTGAGACAGGAGGATCACTTGAGCCCAGGAGTTTGAAGCCCAGTTTGGGCAACATAGCAAGATCCTATCTCTACATAAAACAAACAGACAAAACAAAAACAAAACCTAGCTACTACCACTCTACCAGCTGTGTGTCCTTGGCTTACTTAACATCTGAATGCTGACCAGCCTGGGCAACATAGACCTCATCTCTACCAAAAAGTTTAAAAATTAGCAGGACATGAGGGCACACGCCTGTTAGTCCCAGCTACTCGAGAGGCTGAGGCAAAATGATCACCTGAGTCCAGGAGGTTGAGGCTGTGGTGAGCTGTGATTGTGGCACTGTGCTCCAGCCTGTGTGACAGAGGGAAAAACCCAACTCAAAAAAAATAAAGTAAACTTCAAAGTCTAGTCTTCCTCTAGGGCAAATATAATCTTCCTTCCCTATTTATTTTGTCTGTTTTTTCTTCAAGGTCTAATCCAATGTGATTTTTTTCTTATTATTATTTTCATTTTAGAGATGAGGAATGGAAGCACTCAGATTTGTTCTGTTTTGTTTTGAGTCGGAGTCTCTGTTTCCCAGGCTGGAGTGCAGTGGCACACTCACGACCACCACAGCCTTGACCTGCTGGGCTCAGGTGATCCTTCTGCCTCAGCGTTCCAAGTAGTTAGAACTGCAGTCATGCGCCACCATGCCCAGCTAGTTTTATTTTTTTTTATTGTAGAGATGAGTTCTCACCAAGTTGCACAGGCTGGTCAGCATTCAGATGTTTAGAGACAGGATCTTGCTCTGTTGCCCAAACTGGGCAACAAACACTCCTCCTGTCTTGGCCTCCTAAAGTGCTGGGATTACAGGTGTGAACCACCACACCCAGCCTGAAGATTAAATTAATGACTACATTTAAAGTGTGAAAGTGAGGTCACGGCTACCGCAGCCTCGACCTGCTGGACTCAGGCGATCCTTCCGCCTCAGCCTTCCAAGTAGCCGGAACTACAGGCGCGTGCCACCACGCCCGGCTAATTTTTTGATTTATTGTGGAGACGAGGTCTTGCCAAGTTGCCCAGGTTGGTCTCAAATCCCTGGGCTCAGACAATCCTCTCACCACAGCCTTCCAAAGTGCTGGGATGACAGACTTGAGCCACCGTGCCCGTCTGTCACCATCACTCTTATTTGTGGCAGAGGCAGTTAGCTGCACAGATTTAGAGCGCCCGTGGGCAGGGAGGAGGAAGAGCTTGATCAGGGCCATGACAGTTTCCTTATATTTAGAGGGGTGGAGAGAAGCTGACAAGGCATACCAAGAGGGGCTCAGAGGGAAACATTGTCAGGTCAGGCTGGAGTGGAGAGACCAGGAAGAATGTGGTGACAGCAGGGTGGCCATCAGTGCCTTTGCAGGCTGCCAGTGCTCATCGTCACGGGAACCTAGCCAGCCATCTTGAAGGAGGCCCACTGATGGGAGCCAGGTACTCTCTCCCACTGAGTCTAGGCAATGGCAGTGACACTGGCCCTGTCATGGTCCCCAGGTTTGGGGGTACAAAGACAGCAATAGAGCCACTGAAGGCTACACAGCAGAACTGGTGCCCTTCCCAGGAGGCAGTGGGGCAGCTGGGCAGGGGCTAGGCCCACTAGCTCACTGAGGGCCCGCACCCCAAGCCTCAACTTAGCTCTTCTGGGCATGAACTGCTGGGGCTTAGTATTGTCCTTAACCAAATTGTCCTCTCCTTGTTCTCGAAGGATTACACAGTGCGTGGCCTCCTGGGCAAAGCCACGGATGACTTCTGTGAGGATGGGCGGCTGGTAGAGAAGACAACATATGGTGAGAGCCTAGGTGGCAGCCACTGCCTCCTTCCATGTATACTTGTCCTTTGTCCTCTTCCTCACCCAGGCCACACCAGTCCCTTCTCAATTCATCATCCATCCATCCATCATCCATCAGCATCTAACAAGTACTTTCCATGTCCTGGGCCCTGCACTATATGTGTGATCACAGGAGTGAACCACATAGTCCCTGTTCTCATGGGTGACAATTTTGGGGATTACTTGACACACCAAGCTCAGACTGGGACTTTGGACATGTCTTCTGTGGTCCAGTAACACCCTGTGCTCACCTCCTCACATGGCTCAAATGTTACCTCCAAATACCCTGGTTTCTTTTCAGGTCTTATAAATCTTTTACCTTTTAAAATGTCAGCAGCCGGGCTCGGTGGCTCAGTCTGTAATCCTGCACTTTGGGAGGCTGAGGTGAGTGGATTGCCTGAGTCCGTGGTTCGAGACCCGCCTGGGCAACTTGGCGAGATCTCATCTCTACAATAAATAAAAAAAAAAAATCAGCTGGGCGTGGTAGTGCGCGCCTGTAGTTCCACCTACTCGGAAGGCTGAGGTGGAAGGATTGCTGGAGGTCAGCAGGTCGAGGCTGCGGTGGCCGGGAGTGGCCACTGTACTCCAGTCTGGGTGGCAACGTGAGACTCCAACTCAAGAAAATAAAATAAAATGAAATAAAATAAAATGTCACCTCCCAGCTGGACGTGGTGGTCACTCCTATAACCCCAGCACTTTGGGAGGCCAAGGTCAGAGGATTGCCTGAGCCCACGAGTTTGAGACCAGTCTGGGCAACTTGGTGAGACCTCATCTCTACAATATATAAAAAAATTAGCCGGGCATGTTCGAGTGCGCCTGTAGTCCCAGCTACTTGAAAGGCTGAGGTGGAAGAATCGCCTGAGCCTAGCAAGTCAAGGCTGTGGTGGATATGAGCGTGCCACTACATTCCAGCCTGGGCAACAGAGTGAGACTCTGACTCAAAAAATAAATAAATAAAAATAAAGTGTCACCTCCCTAGAGAAGCCTTCTGCAGCCTCCAGACTTGGACTTTCAGAATGGAAACTAATGATTAGTGATTATTTACTATCTGTCTCCCCCCAAAACCATCACCCGTGAGAACAGGGACTATTTAGTTCACTCCTGTGATAGATGGATGGGGAGTTGGATGGATGGGTGGTTGGATGGATGGATGGGTGGGTGGGAAGTTGGATGGATGGATGGTTGGATGGATGGATGGATAGATGGATGGATGGATGGATGAATGGAGGGTTGGATGGATGGATGATGGATGGATGGGTGGGTGGGTGGGTGGATGGATGGATGATGGATGGATGTATAGGTGGTTGGATGGATGGATGGTTGGATGATGGATGGATGAATGGGTGGAGGGATGGGTGGGTGAATGAATGGGTGGTTAAATGGATGGCTCATTCTTTACTTCCCACTATCCCCATGTTCTGCAACATTCCATAGGATCTATTACATTTCCTCCTTTGACAAATGTTTTCTGAGCACCACCCATGTGTGTGTGCCAGGCACTGTGGGAGACATAGGGTAAATCAGACTGGTCTCCCTGTCTCAATGAACTCAACCCAGCACGTAGCCCCTACATCCTCTATAGAAGATAGAAAACATGGCAAAGCAAACATACATATCTATACATGTAGGTATGTGTTAAAATCCAGGAAAACAGCTAGTGACAGTTACCAAGTTTACACTTCTAGGAGGGAGGATGCCAGAATCTGTGGGGATGGGGAAGAATGTTTGTTGTTTTTGATCTAAATCTTTGAAAGAAGAGATCAGTATCAATCATGTAACCAAAAAGCAAGGTAAAAATAAAAGAAAATTAAGTACTGAGAAAGGAACCAGGTGCAGTGTGGCAGGAGCCAGAAGGAAGAAGCAGTATGCTCCAGAGGAGCTTCCTGGAGGAGGCAGCATTTGAGCAGGGCTGTCAGTGACAGGGAGGAGGCAGCAGCAGATACATTCCAGATAAGACTACTGTGTGGCCGGGCGCAGTGGCTCATGCCAATAATCCCAGCACTTTGGGAGGCTGTGGTGAGAGGATTGCCTTAGTTCACGGGTTCAAGACCAACCCGGGCAACTTGGTGAGACCTCATCTCTACAATAAATAAAAAAATTAGCTGAGTGTGGTGGCGCGTGCCTGTAGTTCCAGCTACTTGGAAGGCTAAAGTGAAAGGATCGTCTGAGCCCAGCAGGTCGAGACTGTGGTGGCCATGAGCGTGCCACTGCACTCCAGCCTGGGTGACAGAGTGAGACTCCGATTTAAAAAAAAAAGACTGCAGCATGAGTGAAGCCAGACAAGAGACCAGAGGCCTGAGCCCTTCCAGCTTGCTGAGCCTTTGGTCCCCACACCTGCTCCCAGAGCTCATCCCCGTGGAAACACTTGCCCCAACTGAGTCTTAGGATCAGCCTTCTGGCAGAATTTGTGAGCCCTATCCACCCTACCCTCTGCCCCTGCCCCTGGCTTGGCTGCTGCAGTCACAGTGGAACCTGCAGACAGAGCCACTACTCTTCTTGCTGACTATTTCCGCATTTGGGCACATGGCCACCCTCTTTCAGTTGGAAAACCCCAGACCAGGGCTTCAGAGACCTGGCTTAGAACATGGAGCAGGTCACATTATGTCTTTGGGCCTCCATTTCCAGAAGAAAGTGTTCTTAACTGAAGACTGGATGGCTTCAAGGCATCTCTGAGCCCCTTGAAAATGCCTCAAAATGTTGTGTTCACGTGTATCTGTCTGAGCAAAGGTCTAGAGCTTTCATAACATTCTCAAAGGCCTCCCAACCATCCCCACCATGGGAATTGCCCCAAAACATCCTTCTCCAGGTTCCAAGGATGGAATTGGCATGGGGAACAGGAGTGTGCTGTGTCTCATCCTCGGTAGGCCCCTGTGCACTGACTACCCCCTGCCTTTTCCAGACCACGTGACCAGGGAGAAGCTGGACCGCATCCTGGCCATGATCCAAGGCTCCCATCAGAAGGCCCTGGTGATGTAAGGGGGGCCCTCGGGGACGTGCTGGGAGAGCCAGAAGAGCCTGTGGGGCTCCCAGAGGCTTTGCCCACCTGGAGAAGATTGCGTGGATCTTGATTTTAGAACCCCACACCAGAAGGAAGCTACGTGTTCCTCTCTTGGCCCACAGAAGTGTTTCCATGAGCCAGGTCTTGGGCTGGCTGTGGAGACCAAGAGGAGCAAGAGACCCAGGAGTCTTCCTGGGGAGTTGATCTAGCAGAGAGGAGACCAGGCATCCACATCCAAGCACAGAGCCCGTGGACAGGAGCAGCCTGGTAGCCAAGAGTTTGGGCTCTGGAGCTGACCTGCCTGGGACTCCTGACTCCACAGGCATTAGTGGTGTGGCCTCGGGTGAGTGGGCTACCTACCACGAGTCTCGCTTTGCTTACCTGTAAATCGGGGACAGAAAGGGCCCTTGCCTTTACAGACATGTGCTGAGGTCTCAAGAGGATCAGGCAGGTACCTGAGCACTGTGTCCTTGGGGTACAGGGTGACACTAGAACAATCACCTGAGGTGGAGTAGGCTGCTGGGATCAGAGAAATGCCCCAGGAAGCAGCATTTAAAAGATGAGCATGCTGGGCATGGTGGCTCATTCCTATAACCCCAGCCTTCGGGAGGCCAAGGCATGAGGATTGCTTGAGCCCAGAAGTTCAAGACCAGCCTGGGCAACATAGCGAGACCTCGTCTCTACAAAAAGCAAAAAGATTAGCCACTTGTGGTGTACTGCCTATCGTCCCAACTACCAAGGAGGCTGAGGCAGAAGGATTGCCTGAGCCCAGGAGATAGAGGCTGTGGTGAGCAGTGCTATTGCTCTCCAGCCTAGGCAATAGAGTGAAACCCTGACTGAAAAAAAAAAAAAAAGCTCGGTGGCTCCGCTTGTAATCCCAGCACTTTGGGAGGCCGAGGTGAGTAGGTTGCCTGAGTCTGCGGGTTTGAGACCCACTGGAGCAACTTGGCGAGACCTCGTCTCTATAATAAATCAAAAATTAGCTGGGCATGGTAGCTAAGGCGGGAGGATTGCCGGAGCCCAGCAGGTCGAGGCTGCGGTGGCTGTGAGTGTGCCACTGCACTCCAGCCTGGGCAGCGGAGTGAGACTCCCAACTCAAAAAAAAAAAAAGATGAGTGTGAAATTGCCAAGTGGCTGTGATTTTGGGGGAGTGGTTATTCTGGGCAATGGGAACATCATGTGATAAGGCTCAGAGGCATGAAACAGCTAGATGTGATCAGAAACTGGTTAGGTGCCCTGCACGAAGGTGCAGGTACGAGGTGTCGGAAGGAGTGAAGGGAAGTGGGACAGGGTTGGTGAGGGCAGTAGGGAGACATTGATGGGTATGAAGCAGCCAGTGCACTGCACTCCTGTTCCCTGGAGAACATACTAGTGGGAACAAGGTTGAAGGTAGGAAGCAGACTTGTCAAGGACAGTGCTCTGGTGGCCACTGAGAAGTACCTGACCAGCAGAGGAGAGAATGATGGAACGGGGCAGGGGCAGAAGAGACTGGGAGGACACCAGGACTGTTGGGGGTGTTGGTTTGGGGAGGAGGACCCCATGGAGGGGGAGAACGTTGAGTTCCCTTTGGGGTGGATTGAAATGAGGTACCTCTTAAGTCCTTAGCACATGTCTGTCGGGCAGGGGTCCTTTCTGTCCCCATTTTCCAGGTAAGATGAGACTGGGTTGAAATGAGGTTCCAGGCCGAGCCACTGAAGCACAGGGCATAGGTGGAGGTTTGGGCACGGGCAGCATGTCTGCCTGGTGAGGCCAGGGAGGGTATGCAGAGGCTGCACTTAGGAGTTGCAGGGGACAGAAAGAAGCTGCTGCCAAGGTAGCTGGGGGAGCTGGGGTGGCTGGGCCCGTGGGAAGAGGCTGAAGCACTTCTGGAAAGGCACCCTTCGTGAGTGGGGCAGGGGAAGGGGTAGTCTGCCAGCCCAGCTCCATGCCCCATGCCCTCTGTCCAGCTGCAGCCACCTCCTGGCCCACAGGTACTCCAACCTGGACCTGAAGACCCAGGAGGCCTATGAGATGGCCGTGAGAGGCTTGATCCGGCCTATGAACAAGTCCCCAATGCTGATAACTGGCATCCGCTGTCTCCATTTTGCACCTCCAGAATTCCTCCTAGGTAGGCTGCCCCAGGGTGTCAGGGTGGGGAGATGGAGCCCTGGGTTTGGGAGAGTCACCATGGAATGCTCTTTCAGGGGCCGCTGCTCTCTGGCTGGGCTGAGGCAAATGCCAGCCCTGATCTCTGCGGGCCAAGGCATTAGGCACTGACTTCCTTCCCTACCTTGGCTGGGGCCTGACTGATCACAGAACACACAAAACAAAAGCTCTCCTGTCTCTTACCAAGTCACCCTTTGAAGACAGACCTTAACAAGCAAAGGTTATATTTAGTGGCTTATTTTCAGAGCTGCCCAGTGTTTCAAGTTATCATAGGCCTATTAAACACAACTTTTTTGTTCTCTCTCTTTTTTTTTTGTTAGAGATGGGGGTCTCACTATGTTGCCCAGGCAGGTCTTGAACTCCCAGCCTCAAGCAGTCCTTCCACCTTGGCCTCTCAAAGTACTTGGCATGAGCCACCACACTCAGCCCAGACACAACTCTTACCTCCCCTGTCCCACCCAGCTCAGTCCTCCCCCACCCCTTTTTTTTAATCGAAGTCTCACTGTCACCCAGGATGGAGTGCAGTGGCACCCTCATGGCCACTGCAGCCTCAACCTGCTGGGCTCAGGAGATCCTTCCACCTCTGCCTTCCAGGTAGCTGGAGCCACAGGTATGTGCCTCCATGCCTGTCTAATTTTCTTTTATTGTAGAGACTAGGTCTTGCCATATTGTTCAGGCTGGTCTCGAACCCCTGAGCTCAAGCACTCCTCTCGCCTAGCCTCCCAAGGTGCTGGGATTGCAGGCTTGAGCCACCGGGCCTGGCTTCCACTCCTTTCTTCTATGTTGATCTTATTAATACGTGCTCCTTTGCTTGAGCATTGATTGTCACTCTCCTGATGCCAAGCACCTTGGATCTCTTTGACTCCTATAACTCCCACTTTACAGATGATGAAACCAAGTCTTAGAGTTAGTTGTACTTCTCCAACTAACCTCCAAATCACCTGGAGATCTTAAAAGGCAGATTCAGGCTGGGTGCGGTGGCTCACTCCTTTAATCCCAGCACTTTGGGAGGGTGAGACAGGAGGATTATTTGAACCCAGGAGTTTGAGACCAGCCTGGGTGACATAGCAAGACCTCATCTCTACACACACACACACAAAAAGTCAGCCAGGCATGGTTGCACATGCCTGTAGTCCTCAGGCTGAGGCAGGAAGCTCACCTGAGCCTGGGAAGTCAAGGCTGTGGTAGCCATGATTGTGCTACTGCACTCCAGCCTGGGTAATGGAGTGAGACTTCGACTTAAAAAAAAAAAAAACCCAGCAGATTCAGCAATTCTGGGTGAGACCCGAGACCGTTCAGGTCTAATACCTTTTACCCTCCAGGGCTGGCCCCCAGGCTGCACACTGAACAGCAAAGGCTGGAGAGCCAGGGTGTCCTGCTGAGGTTGTTCTGTAGCTAGGAGGCATCCAGGGCACGTGGGGTCTGACCAGCCATTCACCAGAGCTGCGTTCCTGACCACCATGTCTGTCCTGTGTCCCTGGCAGAGGTGCAGTGCATGCATGAAACGCAGAAGCAGTTGCGAAAGCTGGTGCATGAAATCGGCCTGGAGCTGAAGACCACCTCTGTGTGTTCCCAAGTGCGGCGCATACGTGACGGCTTCTTCACGCTGGATGATGCCCTCTTGAGGACCCAGTGGGATCTGCACAGCATCCAGGATGCCATCCAGTCTGCAGCCCTGCGGGTAGCTGCGGAGCTGGAGAAGAACTTGAGGCTGGGGTGGGGAATCCACCAGCATCCCAGTCCAGGCCAGCCCTGGGACTCTGCGGGTCCAAGCTCTGCCTGGGAGCTGGAGAGCAACATGAAACATTGAAAGCCCAGGCAAGCAGGGCACAGTGTCCTGGGATTATAGGCTGAGCCACTGAGCCCGGCCAACTTTAAAACAATGAATGGGGCCTGGCACAGTGGCTCAAGCCTATAATTCCAGCACTTTGGGAGACCGAGGTGAGAGGATTGCCTGAGCCTATGGATTCGAGACCAGCCTGGGCAACTTGGTGAGACCTCATCTCTACAATAATAATTTTTTTAAAAATTAGCCAACGCCGGGCTCGGTGGCTCAGCCTGTAATCCCGCGCCTTTGGGAGGCTGAGGTGAGTGGATTGCCTGAGCCCGCGGGTTCGAGACCCGCCTGGGCAACTTGGCGAGACCTCATCTATACAAGAAGTCAAAAATTAGCCAGGCATGGCAGTGTGCGCCTGTAGTTCCAGCTACTTGGAAGGCTGAGGCGGAAGGATCGCCAGAGCCCAGCAGGTCGAGGCTGTGGTGGCCGGGTGCGGCCACTGCACTCCAGTCTGGGTGACAGAGTGAGACTCCAACTAAGAAAAAAAAAACGGAAAACAAAAAACAAAAACAACAACAACAGAAATATTAGCCAGGCATGGCAGTGTGCGCCTGTATTTTCGACTACTTGGAGGGCTGAGGCGGAAGGATCGCCAGAGCCCAGCAGGTTGAGGCTGCGTTGGCTGGGAGTGTGCCACTGCACTCCAGTCTGGGCGACAGAGTGAGACTCCAACTCAAAAACAAAAACAATGAATGGTCTGAAATAGATGGTGCAGCCATGCCCACGATCTCAGGCTGCTGAGTAGTTCTTCCCTTCACTTATCAAGCACGTGGGATAAAGAAAGAACTGCCTGGGATTCAAGAAGTGGCCTTTTTTTTTTAAGCCAGGCATGGTGGCACGTGTCTGTGGTTCCAGCTACTTGGAAGGCTGAGGCGGAAGGACCACCTGAGTCCAGCAGGTTGATGCTGTGGTGCCCGTGAGCATGCCACTGCACTCCAGCCTGGGCAACAGAGTGAGACTCCAACTCAAAAAAAAAAAAAAGAAATTTTTTTTCTCTACAAAAAAAAATTAAAATTAAAGAAATTTTGAAAAACCTTCAATCCATTTGGAACCTTCTCCTCTTGCCACACTTGGGCAGGGGAGAGGCAGGTGGCCTCTGACTAGAACTATAGGCTTTCCCTGAGGGAAAGCCCTGGAATGTCTCTCTTCCTTCCTGTGGGTTTGTCACCAGCCTCCATGGCTCCTTCATCTCATGGTGCTGCCTCCAGGACAGCCCACAGCTCTGAGTGGTGCCACACATGTCTGGCTTGGCAGGCTCCTGGCCACGAGGCCTCAAAACTCACTTCTTCATCCATAAAATGGGAGTCATGATTTTGCCCATCATGTGGGGTTGCGGGAGCAAATGAAATCCTGTGTCAGCTGCTTGTCATGATGTCTGGCAGGTGAGATGTGCTCTCTGTGTGAGCTGTCTGCTTGCCATGGCTGCTTTCTCCCAAGTAACAACTTCAAAGCCTCAGTTGTCACGGGTCGAGTGAGGCCTTTTCCCCATCACACATTGTTTCTCTGGCATAAAAATCAGCTGGGGGCTGGACACCAAGCACAGTGGCTTAATCCTGTAATTCCAGCACTTTGGGAGGCTGAGGCAGGAGAATTGCTTGAGCCCAGGACCCACATAGTGAGACCCCATCTCTACAAAAAGTGAAAAAAGTAGCCAGGTGCAGTGACTCACTCCTGTGATCCCAGCACGTTGGGAGGAGGAGGGGAGAGGATTGGTTGAGCCCAAGGGTTCGAGACCAACCTGGGCAACATGGTGAGACCTCATCTCTACAATAAATCAGAAAATTAGCTGGTCATGGTGGCACACGCCTGTAGTTCCGGCTACTTGGAAGGCTGAAGCGGAAGAATTGCCTGAGCCCAGCAGGTCAAGGTTGCAGTGAACTGTGAATCTGATAAAGGCTAATGTAACCAAGTGATCAAGGTCAACATCAGTAGTCATAAATTATGTTCCTAGTATATGCACTGAATAAAATGTGATGAAGTTTGCCCTTAACCTCTTTCTCCTGATAACCCATGACCCGTCTAATCAAGAGAAAATATCAGATTTCAGTAACGGGGCATTGCTACAGTTTGGATACCTGACTCTAAATCTCATGTTGAAATTTGCTCCCGGCTGGGCTCGGTGGCTCAGCCTGTAATTCCAGCACTTTGGGAGGTCGAGGCAAGTGAATTGCTTGAGCCCATAGGTTTGAGACCAGTCTGGGCAACTTAGTGAGACCTAGTCTCTACAATAAATCGAAAATTAGCCAGGTGTGGTAGTGCATGCCTGTAGTTCCGGCTACTTGGAAAGCTGAGACAGAAGGATCGCCGCAGCCCGTCAGGACGGCATTGGGATGACTGTGAGCATGCCACTGCACTCCAGCCTGGGTGACGGAGTGATAATCCAACGCACACACACACACACGAAATTTGCTCCCTAGTGTTACACACACACACACACACACACACACACACACACACACACACACACACACACACACACACACACACGGAATTTGTTCCCTAGTGTTGGAGGTGGGGCCTAACAGGAGGTGTTTGGTTTGGGGGTTTGGGTCCTGAGGGTGGATCCCCTGGGCTGGGAATGGGGCAGTGAGTTCTCCCTTCCCTTTACAGCATGTTGTAGAAAGAGCCTGGCACCTCCCTCCCCCTCTTACTTTCTCTCCCAAGATGATCCTACACACCAGCCATGAACCAAAGCAGCCTGAGGCCCTCCTCATACAGCTGCTGGTGCCATGCTGCTGACTGCCAGACCTGCCCTGCAGTACTGTGAGCCAAATAAACCTCTTGTCTTTATAAATTACCCAGTCTCAGAAATTCCTTTATGGCAACACAGGCAGGCTGAAATGCATCCTACAAAACACTTAAAACAACCGGGTGTGGTGATTTATGCCTAATCCCAGCACTTTGAAAGGCTGAGGCAGGAGGGTAGGTTGAGGCCAGGAGTTCAACAACAGCCTGGACAACAGAACGAGACCCCGTCTCTCTACCAAAAAAAAAAAAATACATAAATAAATTAAAAAATATATATATATGCAAATTAGGGACCCATTCTGCCCCTAATTTTTGAGGACGTAACTGATTATATCCTCAAAATCCAGATTCATTTCCAAGGCATTGGAGGCTAGGACTCCAATATTCGAACTTGGGGAGACACAATTCAACCTATAGGTGGTTAGAAATTCACTCAGCTGTTCCAGTGTTCCTCAGAGCGCTGTTGTTTTGTGACCAGAAAACACCCCAGAAGTCAGGGCAGGTCGCTCACTCCTCTCTACTGCCACCACGACAGCAGCCCCTCCTCACCTGCGGCAGGCTGGCGGGCAGGTGTGATGCTGTGGTGAACAGATGCCTCGGTCAGAACTAGTGAGAACCCTGGAATGCCAAGGGCCAGCATGGCTCAGCGGCACTCCATGGAACCAGACTGGGAGGGGGCCAGCCGAGCCCTAGTGGATCTAGATGGTAGTGACCTGGGGGCAAGGAATGTAGCTAGGTTTCTTCAGGACCTTCACTAAGTAGCTCCCCTTCTCTTGTCCAGATAAAATGTAAACTGGGGGCCAGGCGTGGTGGTTTACACCTGTAATCCCAGTACTTTGGGAGGCTGAGGCAGGAGGATTGCTTGAACCCAGGAGTTTGAGGCTAGCATGGGCAACAGAGCGAGACCTCATCTCTACAAAAGAAAATTAAAAATTAGCAATGAGCATGCCACTGTACTTCAGCCTGGTGACAGAGTGAAACCCAGGCTCAATTTAAAAAAAAAGGGCAACCCCTCAGGATCCCTCCTACAGTGGGAGCTTTTCTGTACTCTCAATAAGTCCTGCTTTCTCAAAAAAAAAAGCATCCTCAGCACCACCTCTCAGCCCTCTGACTCAGAATCCACTAACCTTACTGACCTCTCAGTTTCCTTATCTATCCATTTGATTCACAGGGTTAAAAACCAGTGTGACCAGTGTTTTTTCCTTCCTAGAGCCTGATTCTTTGGGTACTTACACCAATGACCAGTAGAAGGTAGAAATTGTTTGCTCACACTGTTTTTCTGGAAGGCTGGGCAGATGCTATCTTTTTTTTTTCTTTTTCTTTTTTTGAGTTGGGGTCTTACTCTGTCACCCAGACTAGAGTGCAGTGGCACATTCACAGTTCACTGCAGCCTCTACCTCCTAGGCTTAAGTAATCATCCAGCCTCAGCCTCCAGAGTAGCTGAGGCTACAGGCGTGAGTCACCAGGCCCAGTCTGATGCTGTCTTTGCCAGTTGTTCCCAGGACTCTGGCCCAGCTCAGGGCCGGGGCAGGTCTGGCAGTCAGCAGGCCAGGTAACCCCAGAAGATGATGAGAGTCATATTAACAAGAACTATCATTTTCTGAGGGCTTCTGATAGGCAGGACTCTGTGCTAAGAGTTTGACATTCACCATCTCAGTTACTCCCACTGTCACCCAGAATGGAAGATATGACTAACCTCAGTTTAACCTGCATACCTCCTGCATCTGTGTCCCAGAGATTAGACAGATCTTCCTGGCCGCAGAGTCACCTGGACCCAGGTTAGGCAGAATGATGAGCAAGTGCCTTCTTGCACTGTGCTTACTCAAGCTACATCACCGCCTGAGGAAGCCCCTTCGTCTTCCTGTTTAGCATATCTGGCCTTTCACCTACTATCCCTGCTTTGAGCATCCCTCCCTCACACCAAATGCCCGGGGAATGTAGTTCCCATTTTATAGATGGGGAGACTGTGGCATAAAGGAGGCAAGACTTGTCCAATCTCACAGCTAGTTGACAGGATTTGAGATTTTAAAAAAATTAATATTAACTAGAATTAAATATTAACTTCAATTAAAAGTTGAAGTTTCAACTATTCAAAATAGAAACTACCCTTTGATATTTTGCATTAATAATATAGATCTTTAAAATATCATGTATTTTTATTCAAACACTTGCATTGACTGTATCCATACTAAAGCAGAGTATCTGAAAGCATATCTCTTTTAATAATTAATCATAGCTTCAGCAAGATATTTTCATTTACTGCTTGTTAATATCATAGATGTTTTATAAATACTTTTTTAGAGG